GCCATGAGACGGACTCCTGAAGCACCCACACACGCCCAGCACGGCCGCCGACCTTCGGAAGGAGCCGTTTCGATTCCAGCGACACACTCAATTATGAAAAGAATTATTCCAACCAAATAGAAAATACAGATTCTAACAAAGCCACTACCCTTCAGTATGCCACAAAATTACCAAGTGAATCCCAGACGACTTGAGATGGGCGGCCACGGGCTGGGACGCCCGCCACTGGTTAGAACCACGCAGCGGGGATGTGGCAGGACCTTCCCAGAAGCAGGGGCAGGGAACCTGCTGGCGGGTGAGGCGCACCCTGGCGCCCTCCTGATGGGGCCCAGCACCCAAAGCTGTCAGGATCTCCATGGTATCAGAACCAAGACCACAGGTCAGAACCAAGACCTGTTCCCTCCCGATTAGGGCGTGTGCTTCGCCTCCCGGAGGAGGACTCAGAATTCAGTGTCTCCCCCGTGAAGTGGAGCCAGCAGGGGGCGGATGAGCTCCCCACCTCGGTGCCCGCTGGGGACAACAGAAGCACATGGGAACCAGTCACGATTCCTGGGGCCTGCACACTCCGTGTATCCTCCGAGCACCACCTTGCGGCGACCACTCCCCGCCCCATCCATCCTCCCTCCGGGCCGCTGTGGGGTGGAGGGCACCCCATCTCCCAGCCTGTGACTCCCCTGGTCCTCAACGCAGCGGACTTGAAATGCAGATGGAGGGAGGGGCCAGGCCGAGGGCTGGGGATTTAAGCTGAAACCACCGACTTCCCTCAGCTCTGCTCACCGCGCAGCCCACCTGCTCTATTCGCAGATGGCCGTGAGACCACAAACCAGAAAGGTCTGTAACACAGTGAAACCTACAGCTTCCACTGCCAGGATGCTGAAGCCGAAACACGGGCCAGACACTTCAAGGTTTAAACACCCGACTTCCCCCTGGTGGGCTCCCCCGAGGCAGGTGGGAGGCAGGTGGACCAGCCCTCCCAGCCTCTGCTTCCTCACGTGGGATGGTGACTAACGCTGTCTCCATAGTATTTACGTGTGTCCTCATCTGAGTGGTTGCGCATCTCTAACGGAGACTGGCCACATCCGCTTAAAGGGCAAACACACGCAATTGGAACGAGAGGTAATGCATATTAGCTCCGTTTGGGGTGGGCACTGACCCTAGTGTTCCCTAGTTCCCCACAGGCCTTCTGTGTCCTACACGCCAGCAGGTCCAGAGGCCTCATGTGCCCGGGTTGGGGCAGGCCGTCCGGGACCGAGGAAACCAGGAGTCCGGCCTTTGACGAGGCCACGTGGACACGTCTGGCATCTAAGGTGCGTCACTCGTTCTTTCCTTACACACACACACACACACACACACACACACACACACACACACACACAGTGAGCCTCCCCTGGGCACGGGCCACTAGGTGAGCCCGTCTGAATCTGCCCTTAAAGGGGGCGGGGCAGGGCGGGGACCTGCAGGAACAGTGACGGGACGACGGCGCTACGGGCGCTGCTCGGAGCCTCCCCGGGGGCAGAGGACACGCACACACTGACCACAAGAGCCTGGCCCGGGGACGGGCTGCGCGTCATCACATCTAAACCGCCACTCACCGCAGAAGCGACGTGCAAGACAGGATCATCCCTCGGACAGAACTAGACGCCCAAGGGCGTCATATCTGATAAAGGACTCTTTAATAAAGAACTCTCACAACTCATTAAGAAGACAAACAACCTGACTGAAATGTCAGCAAAAGACGTGAACACGCACTTCACCTAAGATACACGAATGCCCACTAAGCACACGGAAAGCTGCTGAGAGTCAGTATTCATTAGGGAAACACAAATGCCGTGAAGGATGTGGAGGCTGGAGGGAACGGTCTTCTCTTATAAAGTAACCCTGGCACTTACCGTGCGGCCAGACGCCCACTCCGAGGTCTCTACTCATGAGAGATGAAACACAGGTCCACACAGAGCCTTGCAGGTAATGTCAGAGCAGCTTTATTTAAAACAGCTCCCAAATGGAAACAATCCACCTGTCCATCAGCTGGTGAATGAATAGAGCAAAGGGGGGGTGGGTCCACTCAGTGGGCTAGTAGTCAGTGCAGCAGGACGGATGGCTCAACCACAAAAGCACTGCAGAAACCAGGCCACGGACTTGTGATGCTGTTTACACGAACTTCAGAAAGGGCCAAACTATGTATGACAGAGGCGGGCGGGTGGTGACGGGGGTCAAGGTGGACTGACGTGAGGGGCCACTAGGGAGGCTCCTGGGACAATGAAAATATTCCTGGTCTTAACTGTGGTGTTGGTTCCAACTGCAGACATGTGTCTATCAAGGGGATCAAACTGTCCACGCTGAGTGGGAGAATACTGTTTCAGCTTTAATAATTATTAATATACAAAATCCAGTAATAAACACCACACCTCTGGGTGTGACAGACAACTTTAAGAAGCTCTGACTCAGATCAGAAAACTCTGAATACTATGTTGCCCCTAAGAGTATAATGAAAGTACAACCCTGAGAAATACACTGGCCATCTGTCGTCTGTTTGCAGTCTAAGCCCATCTAGGAACAACTCTCATTAAGCAGCATTCCTTTAACCTGTGCAAACAGCCTCTGTCCAGAGTCCTGCTCTGCCCATGACCATGACCTATGCAGTGTTCAGGGTCAGTGACAAGGGTCACCTTCATCTCCTTTGGGTCCGTCTGTCACGGCCACCTGTGGTGACAATCCTCCCTCTTCCCATCACCATTTCTGGATGTTCATGTGGAACCAACGTACCTGCGACTTTCAAAAGCTACATTTAATGTCTAGCCTACGTATCATATAGTAAAACACATAATACGTATTACCCCGGAATACCTAAAATAGATACAAGTCTCATGTAATACACGAAATACTCAAAACCAAACAATGAAATGTAAGTTGTATGGAAATTGAGACTCACAGCCTGTGAAGTGTGGAAGTTCCAAGGAGCTGTGCTGGTTCCAGGGTTTTGAGCCACAACACACACGACTTATCACCAAGGAAATGTGGAAATAAGAGCTCCCAAATCTCTACCAATCTTACCAACTTATTTCTCAGTAATCAGAGGTTCTGAATTCTGTATTTGTCACCATAACCACGGTGAGATGATCTAGAAGTTAAATAATGGTGCCTGACTCTGACCCCACGAGCTTAGCCACACTGCTTTCGTTAAGGCCTCAACCCACGAACCCACATCGCTGCACATCAAAGGGACAAAATAAATGCTTGGTAAGATTAACTGCCACCGGATGTAGCCCATCCTGAGGTCTGGCCACAAAGGTGGTCTCCAAGCCTCTCGCCTCACTGCCACTCTGGAGCCGCCCACCCTGAGAGGTCTCCCCAGCCCGCCCGGGAGGGGGTGCCGCAACCTCTGGGGGCCGGCATCTCACCCCAGCTCTTCTCCTCTCAGCAAAGGCGGGTCACTCCCCCACCTCCAGCACGAGGACTAAGCCGCACGGGGACAGACATGGCGCCCTATCCACCCCCAGTGGCCTGGCACATGTGGGCACCCGAGGAAGGTGAGCAGGGTAAATGAGAGGTGATCCACACACGGATGAAAGAACAAAGAGTGACCCACGTGGTGCACACTCCACCACCCCCAACTCTCCAGAAAAGGTTCTTAACTCATCCGGGCCACTTTCTCAGGCCTCTTTTTTTTTTTTTTTTTTTTTTTTTTGCGGTACACGGGCCTCTCACTGCTGTGGCCTCTCCCATTGCGGAGCACAGGCTCCGGACGTGCCGGCCCAGCGGCCATGGCCCACGGGCCCAGCCGCTCCGAGGCATGTGGGATCCTCCCGGACCGGGGCACGAACCCGCGTCCCCTGCATCGGCAGGCGGACTCCCAACCACTGCGCCACCAGGGAAGCCCAGGCCTCTTATTTTTAAAGATGAAAAATAAAACACCGGCGATGCCAAAGGGAAAACATGTTGAAACACAGCAACCTAAACACTAAGAGTGACGAGCCTGCTCCTTTATTAACGTGCCTGACAAGACAGGTACGGCACCTGCTGTGCTGTGGAATGCCCAAGTGCACCTGCCTGCAGAGCGCCCTGACGCCAGGGGCCCGTTCATAACTGAAGGGGCCGCATGCTTCTCTAACTGATCTGCACCACGCTGGGCCTTAGCCTGTGCTCTCTGAACAAGAAGCATTTTACCACGTTCAGAGAAACTTTCCTGTAACAGCCAAAATAAATAGATTGTTTAAATATTTTACTAGACACATGTGGAATTCTAGAATGAAACATGCTTCTAAATAGTTTGGCCCCTTATCCAGTTGGAAAATTACAGATTTTAAAACTTTCTTAGACAACGGGGAAAATTAAATACCCTGGCCACATTTTTAGGGCCTAAGGCACCCCCAGTGGTAATTTGGAAGGGATGCCAGCGTCTTCATATACCAGGCTTAGTAATGCTAACCTGAGTGTTACCTCTGAGAATTTCTGGAAATATCCATCATTCAGCCACCTAAAGTCCACAGTAAACTCAGACTTAAGTCGATAATAACAACAATATGATGAAGTAGAACACACACACACACACAGCACTCTTTGGTGTCTTCTTCAGCCAGGCCCTATCCTGAGCGCGGGCATGTCTCCTGCCCAACCACCCGGGCTGGTCTGCGACTGACCTCACTTTACGAGCGAGTGAGGGGCAGCGGGGTTCAAGGGCTTACCCAGCTGGTGGCCGCGTCTGCAGGCACCTCGGGGGAGGTGGGCACGCGCTGGGCCAGAGCTTGGGAACGCCACACACGCCCCAACGCCCAGCCACCAGCTGGCTGGGACCTCTGACTCCACGAGAGCATCCGAGGACCTCCCCCCCACCCCACCCCACCCCCACCAGGGGACACGGGGAAAGCCCATCGGAGGAGGCTGAAGGGAGAGGAGGCCGGGGACAGCCGTCAGCCAGCGTGCGGTGCTCCGTGTGCGTGCCGACACTCACGGGCGTGTAAGGCCCGGGGCCAGGACCCCGTGGAAGCCCAGGCGGCACTTACCGATCTGCAGCAGGATCGGCGTGACCAGCGCCGTCTCCATGGCGTAACAGAACTCCCTGCCAAACATCACAGCCCCGTGCATCACCCACAGGCGCACGGGGATGCGGTCTATGGACCCCTCGCTGACGGTCTCGTCGTGCGTCTCCGCCTCCGCGCTCCCCGGCTTCTGCAGGTCCGGCAGGGGCACCGGCAACTCCTGAACTCGCAGAGATTCCGAGTCGGCATTCTGCGGGGCCATTTTCATTACCACCCAAAATATATATATATATATATATTTACTCTACCTATATAAATAATTCTATCATATATCTTTAAGGATAAATTAAGACGTCTTCTCTTTCTGCTTCAGTGTGTCCCTCCAGCAAGTAATAATACTTATATTCCTCTTTGTACAAACAGGTGTCTCGAAACTTCTCACAATCGGATGAGACACGCAGCAGAACAGAACGATTTTTGGTTGGATTCAACATATGGCTTGCTGGTTTACTGTGAATTAGAGTTAAAAATCCATAAATGCCATTCAGTTAATACCAGTTTCATCATCATTACTGAAGAAGTGCTGAAGCTCCTTTCCTTGCTACAGAGAGGTGGGCAGGTGACACACAGAGGTAGGCCGCCGTCGCTCCCCATCGAGGGACTGGTTGATCTGCAAGAGAGGAAAAGCCCTGCCCGGTCAGACGGGGCCTCAGGGCCTCCCACCCCGGGATCCGGGCGCCCTGCTCGAGGGGCTGGTCCTCAGCCTCTCGGAGACCATGGGCCTCCGTTCACTGGTCCTTACCCTAGGTCATCTGCGGAGAAAACAAAACCCAGTTTTTAGAAGAACAACATTTTCCTGCATGGAATCAATCGTGGGGGGAGGATAGAGACGGGACAACAAAGGGAGAAAGGGAGACAGAAAGAGAGCTCCTTGGCAGTGACAGCCCGCTGGGTGCGGGGACCCCGCCCAGGGAAGGGGCACATGGGAGGCTCAGAGTCCACCCTGAGGCGCTGGATTCCTTTTGTGGGCCGTCTACAGCCGTGGTCCTTGACCTGTTTGTTATGAAGCCCCTTGCTAATGAAATGAAAGAGTGCCTCTCCGGGAAAAAACATACACGCAACGCGTGCCGAACACTGAACACCACGTTGAGGGGCCTGAGGACCCCCACCCGCACAGGACATTCCACGGGGCCCTGGAACCTGTCCCTCAATCCTGTTTCCACCATCCCGGTACCTATGACCCAGCTTTGTGACGCTGTCTCTACCTGGATGAACACACCACTACCAAGTGTGGATTGCCGAGAACCTAACTAGAAACGTCCCCTTAGAAAGGTTTTAGGAAAGCAACCGTCTGCCCTGTGCAAGGCCAGAGCACGGATGCAGTAACACCCTTGCTCTTCTGCACACGGCCTTCCGACACGGCTTCCGTTCAACCCGAGGTGAAATCACAGAAAATGTGATGTTACGTTAAGGTAGGTCGGTAGCTGAGGGCTTACTGAAAATTTTCAACCATCGTTTTAAATAAAAATACTTCTGGTTAATATTCACTTAACCCAAGATGATCTTAACTCCTTCTCCCCTTCTCCCCAGAAAGGACCAGAAATCAAGGGGTGGCCTTCGCCGAGTGCCCTCCTCAGGGAGCCCTGGAAGTGATGGCGGGTTCCCAGCCCGACTGCTGGCACCGCTGAGCTGCTACCCTGGGGCTCCGGAACCCCAGCTTCACTACTCCACCACGCTGGGGTCTCCTCATGCTCTCTTTCCTTCAGCCCAAACTTCCCAGGGAATCACAGGTCCAAGTGATCCTACCTACAAATTTGCTTCTTAGGCCTCAAGTTTAATGACAATTCCAAACTGCAGCCTTCACACCTGAGATTTCTATCACGTTTATAAATGTCCTCTCTACTGTATAATCAGTATCTGGATTAAAACCAGCATTTCCGGGCTTCCCCGGTGGCGCAGTGGTTAAGAATCCACCTGCCGATGCAGGGGACACGGGTTCGAGCCCTGGTCCGGGAAGATCCCACATGCCGCGGAGCAACTAAGCCCGTGCACCACAACCACTGAGCCTGCGCTCTAGAGCCCGTGAGGCACAACTACTGAGCCCATGTGCCACAACTACTTAAGCCCGTGTGCCTAGAGCCCGTGCTCTGCAACAAGAGAAGCCACAACAATGAGAAGCCCACGCACCGCAATGAAGAGTAGCCCCCGCTCACCGCAACTAGAGAAAAGCCAGGGTGCAGCAACAAAGACCTAAAACAGCCAAAAATAAATAAATAAATGCATGAATGAATGAATGAATTTATTTGAGGGGAAAAAAAGTATTTCCAAACTGGCACCCTGCTACAATCTTTTTACAAAACATTACCATGAAACTCTCTCACATATACAATGTAAACAAAACAGTATGAAAACAAAACACCCAGCATGAACACCTTCCAACACCCTACGGTTCTCATCCCACCCCTGCCCTTCGAGTGATTCCCATCCTGAGACAAAAATCTCGGGACCTTCCCTTGAGTCAACGTGTCACTCTTACACCAGAACAGGGTCAGTGATTTTAAATGCCTTTTTCCACTAGGTAAGGGGTCATTTTCATGTGAAGACAGAACATCCAGACGTGTCTTGAACACTGACTGACCAGCCGAACGACTGTGACTGGTTTTCTCAGAAATGCTAAGGACTCAATCAAACCCTTCAGTTCTGGCCCATCACCCCTTGTACCACTGTGTATCTATCCTGAGACTCAGGCCCGAAATACAGCAAACTCCGCTAGGAGTCGTTTCAGCAACGGCTAAAAAGTAGGCAATAAAGCTGTGTAACGGCGCACTCGAATTATTTTAAGGCCGTGGGTCTCACCCGGGGCCAACCGGCACCCTTGGGGACCCCGCCCTGGGTGATGCCTGGAGATGTTTTTGGTCGTCACGACTAGGGGGAGGGGTTGCTACTGAGGCTCAGAGTGGAGGTCAGGGATGGGCTCAGCGCCCTGCAGCAGCCAGGATGCCTCCACAGCATCCTGCAGAGCATGGTTGTTCCCTAAGGTTATTGTTAGACAGGAAAAAGGCTCTCCTAAAAACGCTGAAACCTTATCACACTCTGAATCAATCAGCTAGCCCAGAAGCTGCAAACTCAACTTCACTTTGAGTTGAAGTGAACTCACTTCCCTTTGTTTTCCTAAAACAGCCTCTGCTCAAAGCAGAACAGGAAGCGCAGGTGAGCTCAAGGCACTGGCTCCCCGAGGAGGGGTGGCGTCTAGGGTCAGGTTTATAAGCAGGACGAGGTGCAACCTGTTCCCTCCCCGTCGATCACCTAGGCCACAGGTGGTGGCATTTCCTGGTATTTATTTGCAAAGAGAAGGTGGGTAAGAGCCAGCGAGGGGCTGCAGAGGAAGCACAGCCAGCTGCCTGGCCTCCATCATGTTCAGGCTCTGGGTTCCAACCCCAGGCCTACGGCTGCACGTGCTGAAGGGCCTGCGGAATCGGCTAAAGATGGCTAAGCAAGAGGTCTTGAACTTACTGGGAAAGCCAAGGAGGTAGAGACCGAACCCTTGGGGAGCAAAGGGCCCTGCGTCCTTAGGAAAGCCGCACGCCAACAGACCGCCAGGTCAGTGCAAGCGTGTCCCCTCTACAATGCAAAGCAAGTCACCACACCCGAGTCCCTCCTGTTTGGGGTTCCCACTAAATTTCTAAGAATGGTCCAACAGTGGCCTCTGGAAAGAACGTGAGGGAGAGGGAGGGAGCCCCTGGCTGGACGCCTCCACTCGCAGGACTTCTCCAGGGTAGGGTGACTGTCTCCCTCACAGCCAGGGGCGGGCACAGCTGCTTAACCTGTCAGCGGAGTCTGCTTCACACTCGGTGTCCTGCTGGCCAGTCTGGTGGCCCAGGGACTGTGCACTTCCAGACGTACCCATGGGTCCCACTTTAACCCCGGCCACGAGCACCGTCTTCTCAAAAGGGGAGCCTGCCCAGGGCTGGGGCGGGGCTGTGACCTGTTGGGGGGCTCGTCCAGCATCCAGATCCTGCCCTGACGCTGTTTCTGGCGGGGGAGGGGGGCAGAGGGAAGAACTCAGCCTGCAGGGCAGGAGGGCCCTCCACCCTCGCTGTGGCCCATCTTCCCAATGGCCGTGAGGTTGTCTCGACGTGATTCATTCACAAGCCCACTCCCAGCACTTGCAGATTTCTCCCTTATCATCTCACGCTGACTCCGTCTGCGCTGGGTCTGTATGTCTCGGTTCATCCCCGGTTCTCTCCGTCCCGCGAGCCCGTCTGCCTGCACCCAGCAAGGCACTATGCAAGGACAGAGCCGCCAGCAGGTCCTGAGGTCTGGGGAGCCACTTCCCTCTGTAGCTTCTCTTCCCAGAGCTCTCCTTTTCACTCCTGCCTTTTTATTTGCAAGAGCTTCATGAGTGTGTGACCTTTAAGAGCTTGACTAGCTCGGGGGGCGGAGGGGGGCTGTTGGTATTTTCAGTGAGATTCCACTGATTTTATAAACTAGCCGAGGGAGAACTGCCATCCTTAGGGCAGTTTCTCCATGTACCCCAGTCCACCCCAGTGCCTTTCGGGAGGATGTCAAAAGATTCCTTCTACAGTTTTGCACATTTCTTGTTAAGTTTCTTCCTAATTATTTTATCTTTTTTGTGGCCACTGTAGACGGGATGCTCTCTTCCTTTGTATTTTCCAACTGGTTGGTTTGCATACGTGAAGGGGAGGAGTGCTTGTTCATTTCCTCAGGTATAATTTATACTCGGTGAAAAGGTACCATTCAATCAGTTTTGACTAGTTTATGTGGAGACACAGAACATTTCCAATGCCCTGGAAAGTCCATGTGAGTCCCTTCCCATCAAGTGAATGCTAGCGATTTTTATACTTTAATTTGATAACCTAGTTCTTTAACTGAGTGAAAATGGAGGAAAGGGAGACTATAACCAAATTAACAGCAAATCTAACCATTACCAACATGCATCTAGTCCCCCGCTTACCTGAATGGAGAATTGGACTCGCCCCCCACCCCCACCCCCGGCCCAGTCTGAACTAAGCACAGCACCTGCTCGGGGCGTGGGACAGGGACCCAGGGGGCATGCAGGCACCTTTCCTGGGCTCTGAAAGCCTTCCCTTTATAGCTTCCCACCCTTACTCTGTCTTGAGGGCCCCAAGACAGATGGCCCCACTGAGGACATCAGTGCTCTGCTCTGCCAGAAAAGGGAAGGAGGGCAGCTTTGAGAAGAAGAAAAGGAAGGCGTGAGTGGAGTAAGGACGCCTGCGCTCAGGGTGTCACCACGCCCAGGGGACCGAAGGGACACACAAAACCAGATTCGCTGCTCATGACATGGTGCCGTGAAGCAATCTTACAGCAGGCAAACTGTTTCCTTTAAGGAAGCTATTTCATACAAAGGCTGGTGTTGTTAACTATATAATACCTAAAGCCATGAAAATGCTCTCTTCTGAAGCACCTAATGTAAAAACACATGCCCAAGCTAAATGACAACAGCCTGAAGCAATGCAAGGAGGATTAGCTGCTGCTTCCCGAAAGCACTGGCAGCTGCGTGTTCCTAAGGGCCTCCTCTTGAGCTGCCGAAAAGTGTGGAGAAGTGTGCGTTGTGACCTGTTCCGGCGTCTGCTCTTCAAAGAAACCAGACGACCTCCGAAGACAGGTTTCACCCTGGAGCCTGCCGCA